CTCCGTTATGCAACTTTAGCAAGTAATCAAGGACAATATGTGTACGGGGTAGTACGGCACAATGGATATGTACGAGATGATCGATGTGTACGTTAAACCCATAAATTATCCATGACTAATTGGGATGTCTATAGCCGGTCCGATTTAAAAACATACATGGCTCCTTCGTCTCAAAAAAAAAATCTCCTCCATCTAAAAAAAAGTATATTTAGTTCACAATAAAATTGAAAGTTTAGTTAAAATTGGAACGATGTGACGGAAAAGTTAGAAGTTTACGTGTGTAGGAAAGTTTTGATGTGATGAAAAAGTTTGAAGTTTAAAGAAAAAGTTTAGAACTAAACCAAGCCTTAATCTCGTTCAATATATTCTAGCACAATGAATCTGGATATAACTTTATATTCCGATTTGTTCTAATATTAGGTTGTCTTTTTTTAACGGATGGAGTATATGCTATAAGACAAGCATGGTAAAATATCCATAAAAGTATTTATTACTCTCTCCGTTTTACAATGTAAGTCATTCTAATATTTCTCATATTTATATTGATATTAATGGATCTAGACATATATACCTATCTAGATTAATTAACATCAATATAAATATGGTGCGTAGCGCAGACCACAATTATTTGCAAGACGCGTACGTACGGCTGCGGGCGGCATGATCCAGCCGCGTCCATATGTAACAACAAAAAGCTCACCTGTTGACAGGGACACACCAGCTAATATGTACCTGGAGTACTACATAAAAAGTCAAAGACTTCGCCGTCGCAGTTTGCTTAGCCCTCAGGTATACGCGGATGGCTCGCCGCGCGCGAACGTAACGTGTAACGGTGGCAGGGATATGGCTCGCCGCTCGCCGCTCGCCGCTGCTTGCCTGCCTACTAGAGCTTCCCGGCAAAGGCACGTATAAATCGCTGAACTAAATTAACACGCGCCCAGCTGTGTTTGCTTCAGTTCACACATATCCCTGCCACTGCCGTACTGCCACCGCGTGGATCTTCACTGCAATAAGTGTTGAAGAAAAATACAAACATTGGTCATGCAATTTCTGGTCACATCAGAAATTTAGTTCGTGAAAAAAAAATTAGGGTGTCACATCAGATATTTGACCGGATGTCGGAAGGAGTTTCGGACACGAATAAAAAAATTAATTTTATAAATTGCCTGTAAACCATGAGACGAATTTATTCAGCCTAATTAATCTATCATTAGCGCACGTGGATTACTGTAGCACTTATGGCTAATTATGGACTAACTATACAATTAATATTTTCATGTAAACTATGTAATTAATATTTTTCTCACATTTAGTGCCCCATATATATGTCCAAACATTTGATGTGACGTTTTTGGCAAAAAAAAAATCATCTAACGTTGTGTTTAGTTACAAAATAATTCTTCAAACTTCCAATTTTTCCATCACATCAAAACTTTTCTACACATACAAACCTTCAACTTTTCCGTCAAATCGTTTTAATTTCAAACAAACAATTTTTAATTTTGGTGTGAAGTAAACCCAGCCTAATCAAGGCCTAATATTGTCGCTGGCGATTTGCTTCGCCTGCGCCCCTTGCCCGCACGCTGTCAGGCACGCGGCGGCCGTAACGGCAGCGGCCAAGGCGCGTACCGCGTGGATGGGATGGATATACACTGTGCTGCCTAGCCACCTGCCTTGCTACGCGTGCGTGAGGCTTGCCTGGCTGCTGCTACCCCGCGGCTAAAGCAAAGCTGCGTGCGCTGTGGTCCCTATGTTTCAGTTTCACATGTTCATGCCTAGGTCACGCGTGAAATGACTCGGTTAGTTTGCTGCAAATGTTAATGAAGATGCCTGTAAATCTCGGGGGGATGAACTTTTGGTATTTTACTTTATATATAAGTATTGATATATACTCTCACTCTGTTCTAAAATATAAAGGATTTTGCACGGATTGGATATTTCCTAGTATTCGTAGAAAATTCAACAATTTTCGAGCAAACTTTGGAAACCAAAATTTGAATGTGAAAAATTGAAATTTCATTAGAGGTGATCAGTTTTCGATCGAAATGGCTTGAAATCCTAAAAATTTCTATCAGTTTAATTTGTCCAAGATGCCACGAGGAGATAAACCAGGGGGGCAGTGCAGAGGCTTTAGTCAGCGCTGGAGAAATTGGATTGTGCTTCTCCTATCGACTGCATCATCCAGAATTTTACTCAATGGGATAGCGGGAGAACCAACTACACACAGGCGAGGCCTCCGGCAGGGTGATCCCCTCTCGCCCTACCTCTTCATCCTAGCAATTGACCCGATTCAACGACTACTCAATAAGGCCACACAAGAGGGGCTTCTATCTCCGTTATCAAACCGAACAGCACGGTTCAGAATATCCTTATATGCTGATGATGCAGCGATCTTTATAAATCTGATCAGGAATGATGTCAACAACTTGATTAGCATCCTCAAGTTCTTCGGCGAGGCCACAGGCCTTCAAGTGAATCTGCACAAGAGCTCGGTCGTGCCCATCAAATGCGCAGAGCAGAACCTGTCCGAGGTGTTGGAAAATTTCAATGGACAGCGGGGCAATTTTCCCATAACATATTTGGGATTGCCGCTCACCCCAGGCCGCATCAAGAGAATACACTTGCAACCGGTGATGGACAAGTTGCAATCAAGGTTAGCGGGATGGAAAAGGAAGTTAATCCAGCAATCAGGGCGGAAGACGCTAGTCACGTCTGTTCTCAGCTCCATACCAACCTACTTCCTTACCGCTTTAAAGCCGCCTAAACAGTTCCTCACAGACATGGACAAGATTAGTAAGAAATTCCTCTGGGCCGGCGATCAAGAGATTAGCGGGGGGAAGTGTAAAGTGAATTGGAAAAAAGTATGCTCCCCAATAAACACGGGAGGACTAGGCGTGTTGGACCTTGATAAATTCGCGAGAGCTTTGAGACTCCGTTGGCTATGGTTTGAGTGGGAGTGCCCTGACAAACCTTGGGTTGGGACAACACCCCCCTGCGATGAGTTAGATGAGCAAATCTTCGCGGCCGCAACAAAGGTAACAATCGGTAATGGGCGGAAGGCAAAATTTTGGACATCCAACTGGATTGGCCACCAGCCGCTGAAATACCGAGCGCCAGCGCTTTTCAACCACTCTAAAGGAAAGCAACGCTTGGTTCAGGATGTGTTAACCAATGACAAATGGATTGAGGATATTAGGCATGAGCTGTCCATGCCACTGATCCGAGAATTCTTCGTAGTGTTCCGCCTTATCTGGGATAATGAGACAAACCTAGAGGAAGGAGTTGAAGACACCATCATCTGGAGATGGACAAATATACCGGTAAATACACAGCAAAATCGGCTTATTTAGCCCAATTCGCCAGTAGAGAAGACTCAAGGGCCGCCACCTTGATTTGGAAGACATGGGCGCCATCCAAATGCAAAAACTTTGCATGGCTTGTCCTGCAAAACAGGATATGGACATCCGACCGCTTGCAACTCCGACAATGGCCCAATAACTACTTTTGCCAACTCTACTACAGGAACTTGGAGACGGCGCAACATTTATTAAAGGATTGTCCATTCACGCGAGAAATTTGGGACAAAATAATGGCTAGGATGAACCACAACCAACCCTTCCCGGTGCACAATCCGGACGAGAGTCTAGTTGACTGGTGGGAATCAAGAACAAAGCAACAAAGCAAATGTCAAAGTAAGGGGATGCAGTCACTGCACATGCTCTTGAGTTGGGAAATCTGGTGCGAGAGGAACATGCGAGTTTTCAAAGATAAAGAACTTCAAATCCCTCAACTAACGGCAAGAATAATGGACGAAATACATACATGGTCGGCATGTGGGGCAAAATATCTTGCGAGAATAGCGCCTTAACCTCTCATCCTTTGTTGTAATTTTCCTTTTTTCTGCTCTCCTCCCCCCTGTCTTTCCCCTTGTCACCATTGGTGGTATTTGTACAGTGCTTATCTTCTGAAATATAAAACCAGCTAAGCTGGCAAAGGTTTTAAAAAAAATAAACCAGGGGATTTATTGCTCGAAATTCGATCGGTTGCTTCAAAATCCAATAGGAAAGTGTGGAATAATATGGAAAAGAATATTCAATACTCCATCCATTTCACAATGTAAGTCATTCTAGCATATCACATATTCATATTGATGCTAATGAATATAGACATATATATGAATTATGCTAGAATGACTTACATTGTGAAACGGAGGAAGTATCATTTTTTGTAAAAAAAAAAATCGTGTACGTATGCCACTTAGTTCTACAAAAACTTTCCACTCAAAAAAAAAAGTTTTACAAAAACCATAGTATTAATAGTTGTTTTTAAATTTTCCAGTATTTTTTCAGAAAAAATGACAGGAACAGTATTTTTCAATTCGATCTGAATATAGGATTTTGTCCCAAAAAACCTTAAATTTCTAATCGAGATTGAGATGTCAATATCTTACGAAAACCAGTAAGTTTTGGCCGAGAATGTAAATGCATGACCAACAGAATCTCAAAATACTAATCCCAAAATTGAGGATTTCTAATAAATCAAATCCAACAGTTGCCATGCTCAGATGCTGAATGCTTTCGCGGTTGCCCCACAGCCAACATGAATTGAATAGTGCCACATTCACTGTGCGCAGCCCCTGTAGACGGCCTGTCGAACGATCCCTTAGAATTCCCAGCTTCAGTTTTTTTAGTTCTGCACATTAGGAGAGTCTACGTTCTCAATCCGTGCGTAAAGATTATGTTAGTAGATTTTCAAGATGGGATTTTAAAGATGGACTATCTCGGTGAGGGAAGGGTATTATCATACTTTAAATTTCCATTACAGATTTCCTAAAATAAGATTTAGGGGATTAAATTTTGGATATCTCTCTGGTCAAACCCTTAAACCCCGTAGTTACCTTTCTTAATGCGCTAAATATAATTTGGATCGAAATGGTACTAAACACGGTTGTATGAAATGGTAAATAAAATACACACGGTAAATTTACCTCTAGTTACTTCTCTTGGTTACCTTCCCTCCCAATTACTAACCTTATTCTGTTCAACAATTTCTATTTTTAACTCACAAACGGTTGATCTTTGTAACAGACATAGTAATAATAGTGGAGGTTATTTCCATTACAGATTTCCTCGCAGCTTCTTGGTAGCTTCTGTTAAACCGTGATATATATAGGGGGCATATAGGAATCCATCCTTCCACCACCAATTAAATTCAGTTTCGCACCAATTCAGCAAATCCTTGGACCATTTTCTTTGAGAGTAATCGCTTGTGTTTCTCGAAATTGTGAGTAGTTTGATCCATTCATCTTTGTTGGTCGCTTGATTCGGCAGCGCCTGATCGATCAGGATCGGGTACTGGATGGAGTGCGCTGACTACTTCATCGGCTCCGGGCGGCGGTGCTCGCCGTCGACGTCGACGTCGACGTCGAGAGAGGCGTGGAGGCCGGAGAAGCAATGGCGGAAAGCCACCAACGTCATCAGGGGGTGTCATAGGCTTCTGCGCCTCGGCGTCCTCTCCGCCGCCGCCGGCATCATGCGCCGGAACCCCTCCTATGTCGAGATCAAAGTGCACGACGAAGGCGAGCTGGACGTCTCATCCGGCGGCGACGGCGAGGCACCCGTGGCGTTCACTGTCGCCGCAGATGATGAGTCGTTCAAGGGACTCGTCAAGAACAAGCGGGAGGACTGCTTCCGCCTTCTGGGCGGCGGCGCCGGCGTCGCGGCGGTGCTGGCGTCCGGCGCGGAGCGCGGCATCCGCGGCGACGATGCCGACGTGGCGCGCCGCAAGAAGGCGTTCGGATCGAACACCTACCCGAAGCCCAAGCCCAAGGGGTTCTTCCGCCACGTGTGGGACGCGCTCGCCGACGTCTTCCTCATCGTGCTCCTCGTCTGCGCCGCCGTCTCCCTCGCCTTCGGCATCAAGGAGCACGGCATCAAGGACGGCTGGTACGACGGCGTCAGCATCTTCCTCGCCGTGTTCCTCGTCGCCGCGGTCTCCGCCGTCAGCAACCACAGCCAGGGCAAGCGGTTCGACAAGCTGGCACGGGAGTCCGAGAACATCATGGTCAGCGTCGTCCGCGCCGCGCGGCGCCAGGAGGTGTCCATATTCGACGTCGTCGTCGGCGACGTGGTGGTGCTCAAGATCGGCGACGTCGTCCCCGCCGACGGCGTGTTCCTGGACGGCCACGCGCTGCAGGTCGACGAGTCGAGCATGACCGGCGAGCCGCACCCCGTCGAGGTCGACGCCGTCAAGAGCCCCTTCCTCGCCTCCGGCGTCAAGGTGGTCGACGGCTACGGCAAGATGGTGGTCACCGCCGTCGGGACGGACACGGCGTGGGGCGAGATGATGCGCACCATCACCAGGGAGAACACCGACCCGACGCCGCTCCAGGAGCGCCTCGAGGGGCTCACCTCCAGCATCGGCAAGGTCGGCATCGCCGTCGCGGTGCTCGTCTTCGCCGTGCTCACGGCGAGGCACTTCACCGGCAGCACCAGGGACGAGCAGGGCAACGCGCTGTTCGACAAGAGGAATGTCACCTTCAACGCCGTGTTCAGCGGCCTCGTCGGCATCTTCCAGCAAGCCGTCACCATCATCGTCGTCGCCATCCCCGAGGGCCTCCCGCTCGCCGTGACATTGACGCTGGCCTTCTCCATGAAGAGGATGGTGAGGGAGAACGCGCTGGTGCGGCGGCTGTCGGCGTGCGAGACGATGGGCTCGGTCACCGCCATCTGCACCGACAAGACCGGGACGCTGACGCTGAACCAGATGAAGGTGACGGAGTTCTGGGTCGGCGCCGACCGGCCAAGATCCGCCGCGGCGGTGAACGGCGGCGTCGTGAGGTTGCTCTGCCAGGGCGCCGGGCTGAACACCACGGGCAGCGTGTACAAGCCGGACAACGTGTCGCCGCCGGAGATCACCGGCAGCCCGACGGAGAAGGCGCTGCTGTCGTGGGCGGTGGAGGAGCTCCCCATGGACGCCGACGCGCTCAAGAGGAAATGCAAGGTGGTGCGCGTCGAGGCGTTCAACTCCGACAAGAAGCGCAGCGGCGTGATGCTCCGCGACGCCGCCACCGGCGCGGTGACCGCGCACTGGAAAGGCGCCGCCGAGATGGTGCTCGCGAGGTGCACCGTGTACGTCGGCGCAGACGGCGCCGCGCGCGAGCTCGGCGTGGAGCAGAGGAGGAAGCTCGAGCAGGTGATCAACGACATGGCGGCGGCGAGCCTCCGCTGCATCGCGTTCGCCTACAAGCAAGTCGTCGACGGCGGCGACAGCGACAACGCCAAGATCGACGACGAGGGGCTGACATTGCTGGGCTTCGTCGGACTGAAAGACCCGTGCAGACCAGAGGTAAAATCCGCCATCGAAGCTTGCACCAAAGCAGGCATCGCCGTCAAGATGGTCACCGGCGACAACGTCCTCACGGCTCGCGCCATCGCCAAGGAATGCGGCATCATCTCCGGCAACGACGACGACGCCGCCGGCGTCGTGATCGAGGGGCACGAGTTCCGCGCCATGTCGGAGCAGGAGCAGCTCGCCATCGTCGACAACATCCGCGTCATGGCGCGGTCGCTGCCACTCGACAAGCTGGTGCTCGTCCAGCGCCTGAAGCAGAAGGGCCACGTGGTGGCCGTCACCGGCGACGGCACGAACGACGCGCCGGCGCTGAAAGAAGCCGACGTGGGCCTCTCCATGGGAGTCCAGGGCACCGAGGTCGCCAAGGAGAGCTCCGACATCGTCATCCTCAACGACAACTTCGACACGGTGGTGACGGCGACGCGGTGGGGCCGCTGCGTGTACAACAACATCCAGAAGTTCATCCAGTTCCAGCTCACCGTCAACGTCGCGGCGCTCGTCATCAACTTCGTGTCGGCGGTGACCACGGGCAGGATGCCGCTGACCACGGTGCAGCTGCTGTGGGTGAACCTGATCATGGACACCATGGGCGCGCTGGCGCTCGCCACGGACACGCCGACGGCGGGGCTGATGCGCCGCCCGCCCATCGGCCGCGCGGCGCCGCTGATCAGCAACGCCATGTGGCGCAACCTGGCGGCGCAGGCGGCGTACCAGGTGGCCGTGCTGCTGGCGCTCCAGTACCGCGGCTTCGGCGGCGCCGGCGCCGGCGAGAGGGCGAACGGGACGATGATCTTCAACGCGTTCGTGCTGTGCCAGGTGTTCAACGAGTTCAACGCGAGGGAGATCGAGAGGAGGAACGTGTTCGCCGGCGTGCACCGGAACAGGATGTTCCTGGGCATCGTCGCCGTCACGGTGGCGCTGCAGGTGGTGATGGTGGAGTTGCTGACCAAGTTCGCCGGAACGGAGAGGCTGGGGTGGGGGCAGTGGGGCGCCTGCGTCGGCATTGCCGCCGTGTCGTGGCCCATCGGGTGGGCCGTCAAGTGCATCCCGGTGCCGGAGCGGCCGTTCCACGAGATCATCACGGCGAGGAGGAGGAGGAGAAGATCGACATAACTATCAACGCTTACCACTGTTCATATTTTCGGATTTTTGTCGGTAGCTTAGGCCATTCTTTTGGAGATATTATACCATCTTGTTATTTGCCATATATAATATGATATATGATTTGTTTGGTTCATCAATATTACTCATATCTTTTCTCTTTTAGGTCTTGTCCGTCTAATCTCTCGCCTAATCCCTTTCTCATAGGAGTTATTAAACGAACAAGGCTTTACGATATGCCATTTGCCATTTTGTCATCAGGCGTGACAACTGACAATACTCAGATTTGTGACACAGAATTTCATAAAGGACAAGGCGCGTGCGTGCGGCTACGTGTATCTCACGATGCATAATGATAATAAGTTGGGATTTGCTCTATCTCTTCCATGATCTGAAAAATGCAGAATTATGTGAATGCAACCCTAACCTCAAAGTGCAGATATGTGCTCTGTCAAATGATTTAGGCCGAGTTTAGTTCCAAACTTTTTATTCAAACTCCCAACTTTTCTATTACATCAAAACTTTCATACACACACAAACTTTCGATTTTTCCGTCACATCGTTCCAATTTCAATCAAACTTCTAATTTTGGTGTGAACTAAACACACAGGCCGGCCTCTGAATATCTGATTCAGATGGAAACCTGAATTTCAAACAGGCTAGCAGCATGCATCAAGTAAGTGTTTTTGGCAGTCGTTGTCAGAACCAAGAAACTTTGGTTGTTGCAAACTCCGAATTCTTGTTGTCACTCATAAATAACGATTCTTCCCAATGTTCGGCAGGAGATGAGGATCGGATAGTTAGGTATCGTAAGTTGTGATGAGTCACAAAAGATAGTTTGCTCCAGATGCTGAGCGCAAGGACCAGGTTATTTTTAGACTTGAACTCAGAAAGAATGTTACAGAATTTCCTGGACGTTTCCTTCAAAGAACTCTCCATTTCTGTCAGAATGGGTTTCGCCTTTTGTTCATATGGAATCAACTTATACCACACTGAAGAAACAATGGCTCGTGAATGTACTTACATTTTGTTCATATGGAATCAACTTTTTTTGAAAATTTTACAGCGTGCTGCTCCGTCTTTGCAAGTTTCAGTGCCACTTCTTTCTATCGCCAGTTGCAACACGTCAACAAAAAAGAGAGTAAATTGCACTTTCGTATATGTTGTAACAGGGTGTAAATGACATCCCCCACATAATATGATAAGAAACTTTTGTTCCCAAATGCGGTTCTTGCTGTCACTCAGTAACAACGTTTCTACCAAATGTTCGGCAGGAGAATCGGATCGTTAGGTATTGCAAGCTTGTGACTCAAAACATGGTTCATTCGGTCATTACATATGCTGATATGCTCAGCGCTGGGATCAGGTTGTTTCTATAGACCTGTTATACAAGAAAGAAAGTTAAGTGAATTTCCTGTATGTTTCTTCCAGAGAACTATCCTTTTCTGTGAGAATGGGGTTTCGCCTTTGCTTATACCAAACTAAAGAGACATTTGTTTGTGATTTTACTTACATTACTTTTGAAAAATTCTGCAGTGTGGGTGGCAACTGCTCCTAGCTTCTTTGCAAGTTTCCATTGCGAGGTCTTTCTCTCACTGCACGGTAAAAAAAAAAATTGACCTGAATAATTTAGTTTTCACGTCCTTCTCAGATTAACCAGTAATGAGAACTCTCTCCTGACACCGTCAAAAAATTACTTCTAGTTTAGTTTAAACGTCCTTCTCATATTTACCCAGCAGTTTCTTGGGAATGAGAAGTTAAGGGGAAGTAAAGTTCATTCTTTGAGAAGCTTTTGACAGAGTAATGTAGATGAAGTCTAAGTAAATTTACTTAGGATGCATATTTTTTATAGTAGTGCTGAAGACAAGGTTGTGTACTGAGCACAAAAAAAGTCTGAATTTCCTGTCCATGCTGATCTAAAACAATGAACTGGTCTAATCTGATTATCTGAAGAACCATCTAAAAAGATCTTAACTTGGCAACTTTTGTTGAACCAAGCCAATTTCCACCAACCTATAGGATGTAAAATTCCTTGAAAATAAAACAAATCACAACAATACATCACATTCCCAAACGACTGTTGCTGATCTTGCCTGTCACACAGTTGGAAATGCAAGTTCAGAGATTCACAGGTACTGTAACAGATTGGCTATACAACTTACCTGGGATTGACAGGTGCAACAACCATACAGAGAACATCAAACACAAAGTGAAACAAATGAAAAATAAGGCAATAACACATTAGGCTATCAGCCTATCACCAGTATGAAAATTGAAGACAGCTGAACATAAATAGGCCCATTTGGAACACAATTCTCCCATTTCCTAGGAGAATTGAGTGTTTCCTACTTCCTCTGTCCCATAAGATAAGGGATTTTGAGTAAATGTAATACATCCTAGGACAACGAATCTACGTCACATCCTCCCCAAATCCCTTATATTATGGGATGGAGTATAATATTCTTGTAGATATCCTATAAAATTCCAATGTTCCACACATAGTATAAACAAAAAGGAAATTCCACAAAACCACCTGTTCTGATGCATCCTGGAGTGCAAGTCCCAGAATCAATCAAATCACTATGACATCTACAAAAGCAAAGGTCAGTAAGTGATCAACAAACTTGACTGGACAGCAGTAGCAAAGCTCTTGAAACCTGATCATAAATGACACTAAACCATACATCCAGTTCTTCTGAATGAGCTTAAACAGATGCAGCCTCAGATAGTCAGATAGCAAACCATCACAACATCACAAGCAAGCATTGTCATCAACAAGTAACAACCAAGCATTAGCTAGTCACCCAACAGAGAGAAAAATATAAGCAGTTTCACATCACAACTACACCAAGCTGCTGCAAGTCAAGTCTTCAGCCCTACCACCAAATTACCAAAGGTTTAGCCAGCCATTACACAGATTCAGGAACACCTAATTCAGGTAATCACCATAACAACAAGTCCTAAATGATTAAGACTACTAGTGAAAAGATAACTGGGATTTTTTTCTCACTAATCCCCTAGCAGAGAGGTCATAGAAAACTTCCAAGAACACATAGCCGCCGCTGCCTCTCCTACTCCTTGGCGGTCTTGTTGATGAGGGACTTGTGGATGTGCGGGATGACGCCGCCGCCGGCTATGGTGCCCTTGATGAGGGTGTCGAGCTCCTCGTCCCCGCGGATGGCGAGCTGCAGGTGGCGCGGGGTGATGCGCTTCACCTTGAGGTCCTTGCTGGCGTTGCCGGCGAGCTCCAGGACCTCCGCCGTCAGGTACTCGAGGATCGCCGCCGTGTACACCGCCGCCGTCGCCCCCACGCGGCCGTTCGCCGACACCCTCCCCTTCAGCTGCCTGTGGATACGCCCCACCGGGAACTGCATCCGCCATTGCCCCCAAGAAAACAAGCATCAGTGAGTACGCAGTTGTGCAAGAACTAGTGAAGCTTTCGGATAAAGAACTGGAACAACACGGGGTGGATTTGCGCGAAAAATTGGGGGGAATTCACGAAGGCGACAAAGATGAACAGTAAATCTGGCAAGAACTAGAGCGTTTTGCTAATGCACTCGTCTGAAATTGAATCTGCTAACGAAGCTAAGAACAGAATCGACGCGGAACCACCAGATCTACCAAAACGCAGCCAAGAAACCGCCTAAAACCATCCAGATTTCCGCAACCGCAGCCGAGAACAACCAAGAAAAAGATGAACCGTCGCGAGAGGCGCGTCGGGGAAGGGAGAGAGAGAACCTGGATCCCGGCGCGGGAGGAGCGGGAGACGGGCGCCTTCTTGCGGTCCTTGTCCTTGTCGGCGGCGGCCTTCGCCGCCGTCGTCTTCGCCGCGAGCAGCCCCTTCCCTCCCTTCCCCGCCATTGCTCCTCCTCCTCCTCTCCCTCTCCCTCTCTCGCTCGCGTTGGTGGTTCGGCTGCCTCGCGTCCGCTCTCTCTCCCTCTCTCTCCCCCTTCCTCGCTGTAGAATTTATGTCGGTTTGGGAGGAGCGCGCGGAGGTTTTGGAGGGAAATTTTCGCGGGCGACGCGGGGGTTTTGGGCGAATTTCGAATTCCACCGCGCGGCGAGGAATTAATTTCGAGGAGGATTTTCGGCGGCGGCGGCGGCGGCGTGGGTGGGAGATTAAGGGAGACGTGAAGGGTAGAGAGCGTGGGCCTTGTTAACCCAGTAAAACACGGCCCATTAATTAGACAGTACAAACTGGGCCTTCTGGATGAGCTGGAACTTCGGCCCATTAACTTGTAGGCCCATTTTGTTTGGGCTGCTATTTTTTTCAATTTCCTGGCCCACGTCAGGAAATGAATGGACTATTCAAGGTTGGATGGGCTAGGATGAGTCCCCATCCAACAAAAGGAAACAAAAGCCCTTGAGTGTTGGACTGTTTCAAGGACTAGCCTTTTCTTTTTTTTTTCTTTTGCTATATATTTTTCGACTCTAATTTCTCTTTTCGAATTAACTACAATTTTCAATCGGGGCCTCAGGGGCTATTACGCTCTCTTTTCCCAAATTTAAGTCGTTTTATAGACATATTATAAGAATTAAGAAAACAACTCAAAAGATTTTGGCCACCCTGCATATTGCATTGATAAAGATAAATCATTTGACTGTGAAAAACGAGCATTTAAATTTTCATGGAAAATATGAAATCATAGTTAAAAGTTAAAACAAACGTCTGAGCTCTAAAATGACTTACATTGAGGATACCTTTAAAAAAGATAAAGAATTTACATTTAAAATCAAAGGCGGTTGCTGGGCTACTTGGCTGCCGCAGCAAATACGAATGGTACTCAAAGCCTGCAAACACCAAGCCAGAAGCACAACTACAATTGCAGCCAGGGTTCACAAACCATTTAGGATGTGGTTATCGCCACCCAACAATATAACAATTACCGTAAGGTATACCGTGGTTTCAAAAACTAAGAAGATTACCGCATGTGATAACCGCGTTGTATTATAAACCTTGATTGCAGCATCCGCCTGCAGAACAGGCCTAGGGTGTAGTAAATAAAAAAAATGGTGTTGCTATGAAACACACACACACACACACACACACACACACACACACACACACACACACACACACACATATATATATATATATATATATATATATATATATATATATATATATATATACCTATCCGTCTCGTAAAAGGCTCAATTCTAGTTATGAATCTAGATATATACGTGCCTAGATTTATAATTAGAATTGTTTTTTCCTGTACAGCTTAGTTAGGTATTATTGGAAAATGAAACAATAGTACATAGATTCCCTGGATGGTGGTGTACATCTTTGTGCCGTGGTTGGCCCTTCTTCCTCATCTTTGATGCCTCTATCCATCCATCCATCCACATCCTTTACTGGCTTTGAGCAGCATCATCCTCAGTTCCAACTTTCAGCTACAAGCCACAACTTTCAACAGCATACAGTTCTTCCAGCTTTCAACTCAAGACGAAATCAACTTTTTTTTTTGTTCCAAGGAGCTACAGGCAATTCGAATTTAGTCCTTCTTTAGTTGGAAAAAATTTTTTGGGTTTAGATGTCGCATCGGATATATAGACACACCTTTAAAGTATTAAATGTAGTCTAATAACAAAACAAATTACAGATTCCGCCAGAAAATTGCAAGATAAAATTATTAAGCCTAATTAATCAATCATTAGTAAATGTTTACTGTAGCACCATATTGTCAAATCATTGCGCAATTAGGCTTAAAAGACTCGTCTCGCAAGTTACACGCAATCTGTGTAATTGGTTTTTTTCTACATTTAATATTTCATGTATATGTCCAAACATTCGAAGGGTTTTTTTCACTTTGATGCAATTTTCAACCATACTATTTTTTTAAGTTACCAAAAAAATCTATGTTTACTTTGTTGCCAAATTTAGTTAATACATAAGAAATCCTGCTAAAATTTTGGCAATATTGCTATCTTGCCAAAATTTTGGCATTGCCAAAACTTGGTCAGGTTTATTTTGGCTATAATCTAAACAGACCCAATATGACAGCGTGAAAATTTTTGTTTTGGGAACTAAACATGGCCTTAGGTTACCAGTTCAAAATATTTAAGGACACTTTCATTCATGTCCAGGATAGGAAGTTTCAGTCAGGAATTTCAAGGAAATTGAACTTCCCGATAGGGTTTTCAACCTGGTTTTGAGGGGCCTTTCAAAATAATAATAATAATAAGGCTCTAGTTAACTTTGGCAGGGTTGTTGCAGTGCCAACTGCCAAGCCTAACACAGCGAGACCAAAGTGCACACTTTTAGCAATCGCCACTGAACTAAGAGCTTGTTTGGATAATTGCCAACATGAACTCTTCCAAATATAGATAGGCTGAAATTTTCAATAAAGCAGGATCATTCCACTGTTGCCAAAGTTTTAGTACTACATTTTTTTTCATAACAACAAGCATGAATGTTTCATTCTGTCGGTATTGCCAATTCTCTTGTATGGTTAGCATTTGTAACAAACCAAACAACCGCACTACACATACGTAAAGGACGCTTCCACCACGACCTACTTCCCATTGCATCTTGGTTCCTTCAAACACAATGTAAGTAAATATAATACTACTGGTCACTCAAACTACTTTCAAGATACATTCTTATTTTAAAAACAATGGAATAGATAAACATAAGTAGTCACTCAGAACTCCATCAAATACATTTTCCAAGTATCAGAGGACTGTGACCAAGACCAAGAGAGACACCTCCCCAAACTTCAGAAGACCGGTCTATGGCAAAAAACTGATCACGCATACGAGTAGTAATGGGTACAACTTTTGATCTAACAAGATATAAGGGGACTAAGAGCATCCTAGGAGCTCATCCAAATTTCATCCCCTATATTCACATTTAGATTCATCCAAAAAGATTCTCACTCTATATTTTTTCCCACTCCAACAGATCATCCATACTACATCATCCATATATATTTTATTGTATCTTTCAACTATCACATTTATATCATTTACATTTATCTTCCTCTCTTCTATTCTACCCCTCATCATCTCTTCTATTCTACCGATGAGGAGGACGAGGAGGGGCGACGTGCGGTCATCGGGCGAAGGAACAGCGGGGTTGCGGGCGGTCGCCGGGCGGAGGAGGACCGGCGGCGCAGGCGATAAGGTCGCGGACAGAGGAGCAGTGCGGCGGTCACCGGGTGGAGTAGCCGCGGCAGAGACGGCGGGGTTGCCGAGCGGCTTCTTCTCCAATAACCTCCCTAGCCCAGATCCGGTTGGTGCCACCTCTCTACCTCCCTTCTTCCTTCGATAGCCAATTTTATCGAAGCTGCGCCTTATCCTCCCCGTATCTCCTCCTCCATCTGCTTTGCTTGCCGCCGTTGTGAACTCCGGGTGGGGGCGGGAGCTCAACCCAGAGCGGCGGTTGCGATTTGGCGTGAGGAGAGAGGAACGCCAAAATTGGTATTTCTCTCTCATGTTTTAGCGATCCGCTACTTTTGGCGTTGCCGATGGCGTATCCGCTGGAGGCTGGTTTTTTACTCCCATCCTCTATTTCTTAGATGGAGGATTGGATGGAGCATCTGTTTGGGATGCTCTAAGAGCCACGTCTATAAGGTAGGGCTGAAATTTAGTTGATTTTTGAATTAAAAATATTTAAGAACTAAAATGAGATGTGAAAGAACTCGTAGCCCCTAACGGCCTGACCCATTACCACCCTAACAGAACAGAAAAAACCCATTCCGTTACAGTGCAGACTCACACATGAACAGTACTCCCCGGGACAATCTGACGATGAAGCCATGATTAGTGAAGACCAAAACTGAAGTGAAAGAAAAAAATAAAATAAAAAAGAGCTCCCTGATTCTCCTCCAGCCTCTGAATTTCTGAAACCATCACTGTTACCCTCGGGCCCATACGTCAGAGTTCCGTGGGCCCGAGCCGTGACGCCAACCTGACACCTACCAGTCACGTCCCATCAAGCTTTGGTTTGATCGTCTTCAGGCTTCAGCTTCACAACACTTCAGAATACTCGCAAATGAGGACGCCACGTCGTGCAGTAATCTGTCTCTGAAAGTGGTGCTTTGTTCTTGGATTAGCCAGAGATGTTGCCATCTGCTCAAAGTCTGGGCTCGTATCATCATCGCTTTACCACGGGCTCAGTTTCGTACTAGTAAAAGAAACTCTGCTACTGAACAGGAAGTATCACTAATAATTATATTCCTATTTGATATAGTGATAGTATCTTAGTTTTTGTTTAAGATAACCCATTAGATGCCACTGAGTTTGTTATGAGTCTACGATTTGCCATTACCTTTGTCACGTTCTATAATATGCCATCGACTTTTGCTAACCTATATGATTTACCATCGTCGTCCGGTTATTCCCCGTTAGTACTGTACACTTTCATCCAAATGACCAAAATACCCCTGAGACAAAAACTTTCAAATTTTGGATAAAAATTCTAAAATGTAAGACTTTAAGTTTTTGGTCAAATTTTGAATGTTTACAATCTTATGTTTATAATATGGTATTTTCGAATTTTTGTCCATATTTTGGAAGTTTTTATCTTAGGGTATTTTGGTCATTTGGATAAAATTGTACAGTACTAACGTAGACTAAGCGGACGGCAATGGTAAATCATAGAGGTTAAGTAAAAGTCAATGGCATATTATAGAACGCAACAAAGTCAGTGGCAAATCGTAGAGCTGTGACAAACTCAGTGGCATATAATAGATTGTCTCTTTTTGTTTTGTATTGGTGTGTATGGGATGGGTGAAAAATAAACTTATTTTGGCTCTGTTCGGCTGCCCTTATTTTCACTCAGTATATTATTTTTGAGTAAATTGCAACCATAGTATATCAACTTGGCAGGTGGGTACAATTTGGTGCAAGAACTTAAGAAATGAGCGTTCTAGTGCAACAACTTGGCAGATATGTGCAATTTAGTACATAGTTGATCGCATAAATGCAACAACTTATAAGATATGTACGATTTTGATATAATAAGTTCAGAAGCTATGCGACAACTTAATTATTTGGAGCACTTTTTTTATACATATTCAATTTTTAAGTACTTATTTTGACAATATACTAGTGTGGATTTGTATATAAGCATATTTA